GGGGCCCCGGCCGGGGCCGGGCAGAGAGTAGCGGGGAGGCCCCGAGCCTGCCCCGTTAGCCCCGGCACCCGGCCCGGCTATCTGGTCGGAGGCCGGTCATCAGACGAGCGGTGGCCCCGGCCGGCCCTGAGAGCCGCGGCCCAAGGAGAGTGAGCAAGATTGCCGGAGGAGGTAAGGGTGTCGCTTGGGCTCACGCCCGGGGAGAAGTGCCTAGAGCCACCACCAACTCTCCACTTCTCAGTTGGGGAAGGCTGTGTCCTCTGACTGGCCTCCTCCTCCAACCCCTGAGATCCCCTACCCCTGTGTCCCGTGTTGCCTCACCTAGGGCTGCAGAGCCAGCTCGGACCTCCCGCCGGCCAGCCTGAGGGCTGCAGATTCTCTCCCAAGGCGTGTGGCCCAAGGCCGCGGGTGAGGTGCAAGTGGGTCTAGGGATAGGGGTCCTGGGTCCTTGATCTCAGATCAGCAAAGTCCGCTCTGGGCGGCCACGGGGCCCACCCAGGCTCCTCGTCTTACCTGGCCCGAGCAGCCGCTGCATACCTCTCTGGCTGGACTCTTGCCACCCTTCTCGGGCGCCAAATCCCGGGTTGGAGAGCCTGAGACCTCCGGGCCAGCGCTGCCGTCACAGCCAGGCCGGCGGGAGGCGGGTGCGCCGGGAGCGCGGCTCACAGTTTGGGGTGGGGGCGGCGGCTTTTCAGTCGCCGGAGGTTCGGGTGCAATAAAGGCGCCTCTAATGTAATTTACAAACAGCTCGGGCCGAGCGCGGCGCAGCGCCCGGACTGACAGGCGCATTAGGCAGGCTAATTCCAGCCGGCTCCTCCTACCCCAGGCCCGCTAATTAATGAGCTTCCCAACTTAGAGCCGCCTGCATTGGACAGACAGAGAGTGAAAGAGAGGACAAGGGAGAGGGAGAGAAGGAGAGAGACGGGGGGAGCAGAGAAGAGAGAAGAGAGAGGGAGGGAGGGGGAGGGAGAGAACAAGAGGAGAGAGAACAGAGAGAAAGAAGAGAGGAGAAAGACAGGGAGAAAGAAAGAGAAGTGCCGCTGCAGATAATTGATTACTCCTCGATCAAGGCTAACTTGTTAGCAATAGTCAATTGCCCCATCTCTCCGCCTCCCCTAGCAGTACGGGATCGGCGCCCTCGCCTCGACTCTTCCAACTGCCGCCGCCAGGACCCGGGGCCAGGAGCTGCCGCGGAGCCACCTGACACCTTTAAATAGCACCGGGGCTGGCGA